GGAGAGAAACGGTAAAATAATAACACTGTGAATTAGTGCATTCTGCTAGTGTGAGTTATTTAAGTGCTGAAGACCCTGCCTGAAGATTGCTGCCACTCATCCTCCCATGTCTTGCGTGGGGCTGGCACTCTATACAAATCTGTTTGCTGTTCACCTAGGCAGCTCACTGCAGTGGAGAGCAAAGGAGGGAAAAGAAATTTTAAAGTTTTTTCAAGCGGGGAGATGGAGATGGGTGTGAAAAAAACGTCAGGGTGCTTCCTGTTAAGCAAAAGCTCACCAATAAGTAAAACTATGTCCATTATTACATTTGACGCCAATCAGAAAGCTCTGTAACTGCTACTCAGCAGCTGCGCTGGCCTCTGACAGTGGATTCTAAGCACAAGGCCACCTAATTCCAAGGTCAGTGGCCTTGGGAAAGGAGCTGGAACCACAGCAACTTCTAGAAGGCTCCCACTTCACAGTGGAGCATTCACCCTGGATTCCCAGTTTGCATTTCCATGGGCCCTTCTAGGAAGAGCACGGGACATGTCAGCTTCACCCACATGGAGCCCACTTTGTTCATCACAACTGTGGGTGCCAACACACCATGGAACATGGCTACCCAAACCTGGAAAATGCAAATAAAATAAGAATTCCCCAATACTTAGGTAAATATTTCTCAATGACGCTCACCCAATTCTGCATTAAGGTTTGTGTGAGAAATCACTCAGTGGGCAAGGATATTCAAGAGGTATTTACACAGAACCCAAAAGGACTCCTCCATCCAAACTAGGTAACCTTGCCAGGGCTCCTTTTATCCAATCATGAAAAAGAAGAGATTTTTAAGGCAATTAAGGCATATGAAATAGTAGCTAAGAGAAAGCCTTAAATGCTGTATTGACCTGAGTTTGAGCGACAGATCCATCAGTTGTCAGGTATGTGACCCTAAGTTATTCAACTTCTCCGATCCTTCCTTTTCTGCCCTCTTGGAATAAGTGCAAAGCCAGCTGACACCAGATCTGTCTTCAAAGCCTGTTCTTTTAACCACCACACTGGACTGCTCCAGACACTTGAAACAGCACCTTGCATGGGGGAACTCACTGCACCTCTGCAGGCTGGTTGGTGCATCTCCAGGAGGCCCTTCTTCCATCGAAAACCATGACAGCTGGAGCTAAACTCCAAGGCACGAGAGCAACAGCTTTCCTCACTACGTTTACACATGGGCAAGCTCAGTAGTTGGGTCTGAAACAGAGGAGTATCCTTTTCAAGTAGTAATGAGACTGACAAGTATGTCCTGGCCCAGCACAGAAAATCACACTTGAGTGTGGAAGCCATACTGCAGGTTGACCAGTTGTCTCCCAATCAAACGCGGCTCTAAAATAGAGAATGTTTGCTGTTTTGGAAGCTGGTTGACATATGAAATTTTAATTGATTAACTTGACAAACTTTTTACATTCTCCTGAGAGAGTCAGAAGGTTTATTATGTACCTGAATATCTTAAAGGAGAAATGACAGTTCTTTGATGATGTAGAGAGTTTCACAACACTGCTGAAACAGAGGTTTAGGTTGCCTTGTACTTAGAGCTGCCGGACAAGCACCATAAAGAGCAGGCTCGGCCACGGCACAATCAGTATTTGTGGGAAGCACAGCAGTTTAAAGATGGCCTGCCTTGACTAAAAACATTCAAATTCAAAACATTTTAAAATGATACAGCCAAACAAAACACAACTGAAAGCCACATAGGCCCCTTGTACTACAATTATGCAAACCTTAACTCAGACAACAGGAGATTCTACCCCCCCCACCCCGGATTATCTTACCTGCAAAAACGGCACCCACGATGGCTGAGACGGCCTCTGGGAGTCGGGCTGGACTGCTTTCTGCCCGATTATAAGTGGAGAACCATGCCCCACTCTACCGAGCCAGGTGCAAACCTCTCCACCCCCCTACCACAGGCTGATCTCCATCCTTGCCGTACACGTGCTGTTCCCACATTCACTCCCACCACCGTCCCTTACCATCTGTTTTCCATGATGTCACATGGCTTCACCTATCCCAGGCCAAGCCGAATCTAATCTACCTTTCATTCCGATCATCTGTGTTCTGTTATTTTCATCCACACAAAGAGCACAGAGTGGAACGGACTAAGATTGTCTTGGGAGGGTAGGGAAGGCTTCATAGAGAGGTTACATGGGTGCAGGGTTTAGAAGAATGGATGACTGACTGCCAAGGGGAGAAGGCAGGAAGAGCATTCTAAGCAGAGGGAACAGCATGTACAAAGTCTTGAAAGAGTCCTGAAAGACCACAGCAGGTAGGCAAGGATAAGAGGTTGGAGAAGCTGGCTGCAATTGGAAGGAGAAGACCCTTGTTTGCCTCACTAAAGTGACAGAACTTGATCCTGGAGACAAAAGGAAGCCAAAAGATCATATTTTGGTCAAGGGCCCTAGTCAAGCTCATGTCTTCATGGAGTCTGATCTTATCATGCAAGTATCTCCTTCCTCAACCTTCCTATACCACGCAATCAGGTGTTACACTTACAGCTCTTACAGCATCTCAGTCTGTGCTTCCATTGAATGGAGAACACCTGAAGCTGGGAGTCTTTTCTTTTTTTAACTTCTATATCCTAATAGTGCCCAGCCAGTACATGCTCAATAAATTCCCAGGATTGACTAATTCAGACTTTTTCCAGAGGATAAATAAAGCAAACTAGGTTCCAGAGATAAGAGTAGGGAAATCTCCAAATCAAATTCACCACAAGCCCTTACTATTGGCTACAAGTGGCAGGATCCAGGACCACAAACGTTAACTTCAAAAGCAACTACACTTCAGTCCATGAACTCGGACTCCTCTCCCTTGCTACCCAGCTCCATTCCACCATCCAAGCTAAGATTCACTCCAACTCCCCCTAGGAATACTGGGCCAAAAGGAACAGGTACCAGCTCATCTCTGGTTCTGAACACGCCCCATGGACTGCGAGGGTGGCGGACAATCAATGCATTTAGCAAGTGCATCTGGCTCTGAAGTGAGAGAGAGAGCCTGTTCCTGTGCGTAAATGCCAAGTTGCAGGAGGTTACCATAGCAACCCCAGCAGGGTGCTGCAGTGGGCAGCTTTGCACAGAGGTGCAGGAAACCCATTCTCTAACATCTGGGCTTTTGCTGTGCACTCTGGATCCTCGTAGGCACATCCTGGCTTTAGGCCCTAGCTTTGGGATTCTGCAAAAAAGGAAGTGGAATTTTGAATGTTTGCTAGTCTAATCTTCCCTTTCTCATGTCCCTCTTCAGCACAGTAAACACTGCATGTGGAGCCCCAAACAGGCTCTTTAGAAACACAGAGCTCCCTACACTCCTTCGTATGGACTATGATGAACAGATTGTACTTGCTTATCAGCAGGACTTCGGCACGAAATTTGCATCCACTGAAAAACCAGCAATTGCACACTGTAATGAGCAGCGTATCCACAATGTCCCCTTTCCCAGGCAGCCCCCAGTTCCTACATTATTAGTACATTTTTAATGCAAAAATAAATAATGCCATCAAGAGCGTAGGTTGTTCTTAATGGGGTTGCATGAGCTGCATTCCAGGAGCTGTAAGCCAACTTTTCAAAGGCCAGGCAATTTCGGAAAATGCTTTTCCATAGGGGTGGGAAGTGGGGATTTACTCAGCCACTTCCTGATGTGTTCACGGTAAAGATATCTCTTGTGAAGAAAGAACACGAGAAGGTGATAGATAACGTTCCACTGGTGGCGCTAACCTACACGTGGCCATCAGGGGGCCATGTCCCTGCAAAGGGAGCTCTAGTTGGTGGGGCATTAAGTAGCTAAAACGGTCTCCTAGACATTTGCATTATTTGCTCTTGAATCTAGAGGCTCACTTGTGGTTATCTCTGAATTCTCTCCTGGGCAAAATAAGAATGATTTACGGAGTCACTAAAGAAATGGATTGCATTATAGGCGTCCCCAGCAGGGTGAGGTACACCTGCGTGTGGAAAAGTGCGGGAAATTGTTAACAAAGTCATGCACCTGTGGGGCTTTGCAAGGTGCAGGAGCAGGACCACAACACATGTGCAACTTGGTCGTGAAAAGAGGGGGGGGATTAGAAGTGAGGTAGAGTTCCTAGTACCTGAAGGAGTTTCGTGGCCTACAAAAATTAAAACGGGAGTACCAAGAGCAATTTGTAAACAGACAAACAAAGGAAGGAAGGAAGAGGCTCCTGCCCAGGGAGGTGAGGTGTGCAGGAATGCCTAGCCTAGCTAAGGGGTCCTGGGGAACAAAGAGGAGGCCAGTGCCAATGGAGTTCAGCTGGATGACTTCTCCACCCAGGGAATTGTGAGGTGACATGGAGATGTGCACGTGGCTGAATGAGGGGGCTGTTAGGTGTGTAGGCAGGAAGGTCGGACTGGCCAGGATGGACACCAGGGGGACGAGAAACTTGAGTGTTCTGAAGGAAGGCCAGAGAGAGTGTCAGTAACCTGGTGACAGACAAGGAGCTCTCAGTAAGTGAGGCGGAGAGATCCAGCCAGTGCAACGTGGCCTGCACATGCCTGGCAAGGTGACAAGGGGATACCTGTTTCCCTGCTGTGGGTGGAGTGGGTGTCCTGGGGGCGTGAAGCAGAGGACTGAGCATGTGGCCAGGGAGCAGGGAGAAGGGCTTATGGGAGCTGCGCTGGTACAGGGCACAGTGCTGGCGACGTGCTCCTGGACGAACGCTGGGAGGTCGGGGCTGGGAGAGGTTCCCAGCGACTCTGGCAACCTGTTCCTTTGAGGCAGGGCAGCCGAGGGAGGTTGAGGGCCCAGCACCCAGGCCCCAGCACCCAGCCAGGTAGGGTGTGGGAAGGAGTCAGGTGCACCGAGGCGCTAGCCTGCAAGTGGGTGTGGAGAGCCGCGTGGAATGGGGCGGATCCAGCGAGGCAGGAGTGGGGGAGGGGAGGTCGCCGGCCAGTGGGTGTGTAGAGCGAGCCAAGGTGGGGGGTGGGGGCGCCGGGCCGGCGCCTCTGACCGCCTCGACCTCCCCGGGGACTCACCCAGCACGAAGTAGGGCAGCTCCGTGTTCTCCAGGTCGTCCACCACGACCATCTCCCCGGGGAAGTCGTTGCGCACCGAGAAGAGGAGCTTGGGCTCGGAGGCCGAGGGGCTGTGCATGATGCTCAGGTCGTTCTCGCGCAGGAAGGGCAGCGCCGACACCGTGATGCTCTTGAGCTTGCACTCCAGCTCCTTGGAGGGGTCCGCGTCGCCCGCGGCCGCGGCCAGCACCGCCGCCGGCCCCCAGCAGCAGGCGAGCAGGGCGCAGAGCCCGGCAAAAGCCATCTTGAGCCCGGGCGCCTTCCTCCCAGCGCCGCGAA